TAAATATAATCATAAATATAAAACATAACCACATTTTACAATTACCTAATAGTTTCAGCTAAAACTGAGAGCAACTCTTCCATAGTCATATAATCATTTAGATTGGTGTTTCGTCGATTTCCCCAAGAATGTTTATCTAAAGTCATTGCATTTTCCCACTTGAAGTCTACTTTTTTTCCTAATACAAACAACAAAATAAAAACAGAGAAAATTTTACTAGTTGTATTAAATTGCAACTGTATTACACTGTATTATGCATAAATATACTGGTCTGAATATAATGGGTAAATATACTGGTCTTAATATATAATAAGTAAATATATTGGTCCTCAATCCTATTAACCGTGCTTCAAATTAGACACCTTTTTGCATCCATAGTACTACAATATTATATCAATGAGGACAAAAACTAAAAGAATTTTAAACGTTTTTTTGCATTAAAATAATATTTGTATTATGCAAATATTATTTGTATGAGAAAACAAATAATTTGAGAAAAAACAAATGTGATTGACAATCTGATGAGAACATACAATTGCATGAGCGTACAAATAATGACTTCCTAGAAATAATAAAATTAAAATTTACAAAAATAAATTCCCTGAGGAGTCTCAAATAAGAGAAATGAGTGAAAAAAACAAAAAACACTATAATACTAAAAAAATAATACTAAAAACACTGTTTTGGGTTTATCAGACATAGGTAAACATAGTTATATCTATGCCCTTTGAACTCAAAACAATGGGCCACTAAAATGTCAGCTAGGTTTTTAATAAGGTAAAATTATATTCTAAGCTATATAACACTGGTTCAGCTAAATTGTTAAATTTTTCTGTTACTGTATTTGCTAAGATTAAAAAAAAATTGATAAACAAAAAATATTAATATTTATAGAATAGATAAAGAAATAAAAATCAGACGCAGCTATTAGAAGACGACTTTTTTTTAGCAAAAAACAGAATAAATAGGAAAGTAAGAACAGATAAAAAGATTGATTAAGTCTGTAGTAACCTAGCCAAAATTTAATGGCATTTTTATGTATTAAATTGCAAAACAGGTGATTGTAAAACAGCAGAGCATTAAGAAGTCACAAGGTTTTGTGTACCAAAAATAAAAAAGGGGTTTGTGTACCTAGAATTTTCAAAAACATGAAGTTGCATTTCACACAGAAAAATGCATTTCTCACTAGTCCACTGAGAAAAAGTGTAACACAGCATAACATGTTATACCAATATATGCACTATTACCTGCGCCTAAGCCCCTAGGAACCATTTTTTCAAGGAAAGAAAAAAATATTCAAAACTAACTTTTGAAGTTAAAGAAAATTTGGTTAGTCATCCCACATAAACTATGCACAAAATCAGATTGTTTTTGTAAATATATTTATTATTATTATTAAAAAGAAGCTAATATTTTTAAATAAAAAATAATTTTTGTTATACTTTTATGGTTATTATTTATAGAACTTGTCTGAAATCTTTAAATCAAAAAACTTTTTACTATAAAAAAAAATAAGTACCAGGAAGAAATCTATCAGCACAATTTTTAACATCACCATGTTTGCACCATGCCTCTGGGCCCCATCGATCATTAACCAGTATATTATCACGCACGGGACTAGTAGAGGACAAATATTTATTTAAAAATAATTCTAGAAATGTTGCAAAAAAATCAATTTTGTTGAATTGAATGACTTAACATACCTATCATTATACAACCAAGCAATAAACTCCTCTGAGCCCCAATATTTTGAAGAAGCTGGGTCTCCATCTGACCAAATATACTCTGGTTTGTATTTATTTACAAAATCATACAACTGAGGTTTGACCACGGTCTAAAGAGAAAAAAATTAATATAAAGCTTTAAAACTCATTAAAGATTTCACTAAAGTGAGGGAAAATCTCCTCTACGCACTCAACTCAACTACGCACTCAACTCTCCTCCCTATAAAAACAAAAGGCTTTTTTTAGAGGGAGGGGGGACGTTAGAATTAGAGTATAAATAAAAATTTATAATTATAAAATAAAAACAAAAAATATCTTACCTGAACATATTCCTGTGACTTGAAGTTATTAGCTTTATCTAACAAGAAAAGGGGATGAAACCATTCAAACAAAGAATAGTACATGCCAAAGTGCACATTAGATCGACTATGAAACACAGTTGCTAATTCACCTAGAAAAATAAAAATTTAGAGAGATTCAGAGGTAGAACCACATAGTTAATGGGGGCTGTATCTACTATATTTTATAAAGTTGGTCTAAATGTAAACCTGTCAGAATATAAAAGAAACTTATAAGACGGAAAAAATCTGCATGCAAGCTCATGATTTTTCCTGGTACAATTAACTATTGGGAATTTCCAAAAAATCACGCACGGAAACTCGTATGTTTTTACTTTTATTTTCATAAAAATAAAACTAGCGATCTCCAACTTACTATTTTTTTTTTTTCATTATACTTCACTTCCTCAAGGCCGAGAAGGCCACTACAGACGAGGAGGCTACTTATTTTGTGGCTATAACCCTCTCTCAACTCTATAACTCAGAAACACAAACCTTGACGAACAAGGCCGCTGCGCAGAGAAACAAGTTGAGAAACAAGTTGAGCGCGGTACTACCAGGGACGTGGTGGGGATCGAACTCGGAACCACTCGTTTATGAAGCGAGCGCTCTACCACTACACCACTACTGCATTTCATTATTATTTAATTCTAATCTATATAAATATTTTGTAAACAAAAACTAGTAAGCATTAGTAATGTTAACAAAGAAAAAATAAAGTTTGAAATGGAATTTCACGGAACAGAAAAACTTCTATTTTAGTTACTAGATAAATAAACTTTAATTCCTCTGAAAATAAAAGTTTCACCTGTATACTTTTTTTTTAAATAATATTTTAAACATTAGTAAAGATTTCCAGAAAGTTTCAGTATTGCACTATGAGTCATAGAGTCACAGCAATCATTTAAATGCAGTTTATGAATGATCACGCACGGATGTTGCAAATTTGTCAATTTCATGTAGCTATTTTTAGGAAAATAAATTGCTTGTGAGTATTTCAAATGAAATATTATACTTCTACGACTCATATTTAATATATTTTTGATGAGAAATAGCAGTCATTAATTATTTCTAGCTAGAGTATGGCGTTTTGAAAATTATTGTATATTTTTCAAAATGTTGCGATACTATTACTCAAAAAAAATAAAATTATAAAAATGTGTATATTTAATTTCTTCAGATAGCCTAAAATATGATAAAAATATTTTTGTTATAATTGTTCTTTAAGAAAATTAAAATAGAATGCATATTTCATTAAGTCCTAGCTTTTAATTGCTAAAACAAATAAAAATAAAAAATCACGCACAGAAATGGAAATGCCCTATTACTAAAGTAAGGTTGGTTAGAAGCTTTTTAAACTTTTTTTTTTAATTTAATATTTTTTGTTTGTTGTTGTTTTATATTCAACATTTTATGTTATATTACGTTTTAGCCAGATGAAAGTGGTACGCATGATATTACGTGATCAATGAATCAATATAACAGTAACTATGTAACTATGTAAACTACGTAACTAATGGTAACTACAGTAACTACATAGGATTCATTTTATCTGTTCATCTTTTCTCTAAATGTGAGATAAATCAAATGAAAAGAAAAACAGGTAAAAAAAAACTTATAAAATTCGAAATCAATTAAAGTAAAGTACTTCACCAGTCCTAAAAATTATTCTGCTTTATTTTCTCTATTATTTTTATTCTATAATTATTTTCTCTAAATGTGAGATAAATCAAATGAAAAGTAAAACAGGTAAAAAAAAACCAGTCTCCCAGTATAAAAAAAAGTATTAAACTTTTTTGCTCTCATTTAAATAAGTTATGTAAAAAGATGATTATAAAAGTAAAAAAAGAAATAATATCATAAAGTATAAAACAAAAATAAAAACAAATAGTTTCTTTTATTTTATTACCAATTAAATCACGATGAGGACCACAATCAACAGAATTCCAGTTCCAACTTACATTTGAGGGCCACAAAGTAAAACCTTCATGATGTTTACTTGTGATTACAAAATATCTAATAAAAAAGTTTACTTATTGAATAAACAACAAGTCATAGATTTAAACTAGCTATCTTAAAACTAATATTAACTAAATTAAATTAACTTTTAAATAAACTTTAAATGAACTTTTAAATAATGATGTAAAAATATTTGTTACAAAAGTTGATAATTATTAATGTAATTATTAAAAAGAATGGTAATTATGTTAGATATAAGCGCTACTTACTAATAAAAAAAGTCAAATAAAATTGAAAATTTCTTTTTATTTTTTTTGAATTTTTTTTATGTAATGATTGATTTTTTCTCTTTGAAAACGCAAATACATTAAGCATGAAGCAAAGATTTTTAGAAGCAAAGATTATTATAATATAATTTAATCCTGATAAAAAATCTGATTTAATTTAAAACTAATTTAATAAAAATATATAATTTTATTATGATGAAAAAAAACTGAATTAATTTAAATTTAAAAGATATATAATTTAATTTTAATTTAAAAAATTAAAATTAAATTGTATATCAAAAAAGTAATTTTAATAAATGATGTTTGTAAAAATAATCTTTGCTTTCACAACAAAATTGTTAATAAAATAATAAACTTTTAAAAAATAAAGTAAAATAAATTATCATAATTTTTTTATGTTACTCACTACTTTTTTTTTAATAAAAAATCATTTGTAGTTGCAAAGAAGCAATTAGAAATTTAAGAAATAATCATTTAAAAATTGATTCATTTATGCAAATGTCAAGAAAAGAAAGAAGTTTGTTAATATCAAACATTTTTAAAAATGTGATATTAAATATAATTATTTAATATTAAAAAAAAGAAAAAAAAAAGAAAAGAAAATAAACATTCCTTTATAGTAATAATAAAAATGTTAAATAATATCAAACTCATTTTGCGGTAATTAATATTATTGCAGTAATTTTAAAAAGTTAATGCCTTATAAAAATAAAAAATATTTTATGACATCAAATTCACATCAGGCTATTGCGTTTATTGTTTTTTATTAAAAACATAGCCCATATATATATATATATATATATATATATATATATATATATATATATATATATATATATACACAAATGCAGCACTAGACTCACACAGATGACATCATACAAAAACAGGATGTTGTGGGGGCTTCAGTACATACATATATAATAAGAGTTGCTTGCAAAATAGTTGCAGAAATATGAGTTCCTTTGCATCTTTTAGTACCCTGCAATTGATGCAACAAAGAATGAGTGTAAGTGAATTTTTTCAAATTATTGCATAGGTCTCCATCCAGTTAGAACATTTGCGCCATCTGTAGTTATGCCTACCATTAGTGGCGCTATATTTTCTGTATGTACTATTAGTTGATTATTGTAGTTGTCCAGTTCTTCTTTGCTAAGGAAACCTTTAAAACTGCGTTCATCTTTATCGTCGTTACTATAGTTAAATAAGTAGGGTATTTCATCTTCTAAATGTACTCATTCCTTGCTTTCATCTTCTAGACCTTCTACAGTGGTAGCTAATCCTAGAGGCTTCTGTGAAGGATCCCATTTCATTTTGGTTTTAAAAAGTTTTTAAGATTAAAGCTGTCAGTTTAAGATTAAGGTTTTCAGTTATCATTAGGTTAAGTTACATTGTCTATTGCCAGAAATCTATTTTTAAAATCTTCATTAATAGAATAGCGCAGGTAAATAACCTGCTTTAAAAACTAAGTAGAAATTTTTAAGTATAAAAATTTTTACTTATTCTTTTTTTAAAACATCAAAGTATTTTTTTTGAAAAATTTAGTTCTATTACTTTATCTTTAAATCCTTAAATAAAATTAAAAAAATAAATAAAAATGAAACAGCATTTTTGTTTATACAATAAAACTTTTTAGCTTTTATTTAGGAAGTATTTTAATACATTTAAAAGCTCATACAAATTCTTATGTTTAATTAATAATAAAGAATGTGGAAAAACAAACTTACGCAATATGATTTTCAAAATATAATTTCATTATTATTTTAGATAGTTACTTAGCTTTTTATAGAGTTCTTGAACTTAAAAAAAAAACTTGAACTGCAGATAAAAATCAATAGTTGCCGTATTGGGTGACTTAATTGCATTAAATTAGTATTTCTAGTTGCCCTTCACAGAATTTGGTCATCTGGTACAGTCGGGTGAACATGAGTGTACACCCATATATATACAGGCCTTGCTAAGAAGCGTTACACTATTTGAACTTTACGTACATATTCACAATTTTACGTACACGTTTCCTTATTTACATTATGCAAAAACTTTTTTCAATAAGTTTATTTAAACAGTCTTTTAGAACAGTTTATGCAGAAAACATTAGGCTGTAATTAATTTTTATAAAAAACATTTGTGGAATATTTTTGTTATTAGATAAAAAAACAGATATATAAATTTTTTTCTATTTTCTGTTTTTTTTTCTTAATATTTGTAATTTATTTTTATTAAATTTAAATTATTTTATTATTAATAATTGTTTTAGTAATTTATTTTATTAAATTTAATTAAAATTCTTTTTAAAATTTTAAAACTCCATTTTACTATTTTTTTTACTTATAAAATATCCTAACTATGTTAAAGTAATAAAAAAATTAATAAATTTAATTCAACTTACTTTAAAATGTTTGTACTACATATAACTTTATTTTAATTTCAGTTTTTATTAACAAAAGTTTTTTCTTTATCATTAATTTTTTTGAATTAATTTTAGACTGAACGTCGATTAAAAATGATTAATTAGTTTATGAGTATTTTGTGAAGATTTTATTAAAGCCAAAATGTTAAAAAAAAGGTTGAAAAAAGTTTATTTTTTTAAAAGCCCAACTTATTTATTTTATTTTAAAAACAAAACTAATACTAGTGCTATTAATATAAGATACGTAAATTTCAAAATTCCACTGATATTTGTTAAAAACAAGTTCTGCTAATAACATCTTAATATAGAAAATACTATTTTTCTTTTTGGATTTAATAAGAAATAGCAAAAATACATTAGGTTTCACGGTACATAAAAATAAAATATTTTAATGGAAATAATAAAAAAAACAAAGCCGAAAAGCGGTAATCTTCATTTAATTACAATTTTTATTTTATCAAAAGCCTGTTACTAAAATGTTATAGGTAGTACAAACATTTTTTTATAAAGGGGAAAACCTAATCTGATTGTAAGTACATTTAAATAAAAATATATACATATACATAAATATATATGTATATATATATATAAACAACAATAATTATTGTTGTTTATATATATATATATATATATATATATATATATAAACAACAATAATTGGAATAAACTTCTAAACAACAATATTGACATATTCTGGTATATCAGTTTCAGATCAATATTCAAAAAATTAATAACTTTTTTTTTTTTTTTTTTTTTTTAGTTCACCTCCTCAAGGCCAAGAAGGCCACTACAGACGAGGAGGCTACTTATTTGTGGTTATAACCCTCTCTCAACTCTATAACTCTGAAACACGAACCTTGACGAGCAAGGCCGCTGCGCGGAGAAAAGAGTTGAGCGCGGTACTACCAGGGACGTGGTGGGGATCGAACTCGGAACCACTCGTTTATGAAGCGAGCGCTCTACCACTACACCACTACCACTACACAACTGACACAAAGAGTTGATGAATATTTATTAAAATCAAAATTAATTTTTAATTAGTGACTCATTAGTTTCTAATTCAATAAAATTATTATAATCAGTAGTTAAAAAAATACTTTGCTCCTGAATTTTCCACAATATCTGCCCATTCATTTGCATCAAAAAACTCAGCTTTCCATTGAGGGGCAAAATCTTGGTATCGATAATTGGGTGGATAGTTACTTGTCATAAAATCAACAGCTTCTTTTTCTTTTGCTGCAGACCAATAAAAAAAAAAGATTTTGAAGTCAATCTTAATGAAAGTAATTAATCAAAAAACAAATGTAATACTAATAATTTAATAAATCATTGAGATTTCATTACAAAGTAATTTTATATATCTTAAACCTACTTATATAATTTTAAGTAATAAAAATAATGTGAATCATCCAATTGTGACCAAATAGTAAAAATTTATTATTAGGGTAATTCCATGTCAAATGATCTGGAAATTTTCAAAAATGTCACCTTATACTTTCAGATTTTGCAGATTTTTATATAGTTGAGAGTACTTGTTAAAATAAAAATTCCTTTAAAATATTAGCCTCTGGCTCCAAGAAGATCCTGAATTATTATCATTTTACTTTAAACAGATGCTGACCAGGCCCCTCTTGTCCCTTGTAGAGGTTTCAAGTTTTAAAATATTTGATCTTTTTACTGCAAATCCAATCAAATGATCAGAAATGTACAAAATTATTTTAAGATTTAAATGCTAGTCTTAAAATAATGTGTCTCACATAAAACCTTAATGGCTTTCCAAAGCATTAACGGTTATATATCAAAGTATGAAGAGCATATTTCTAAAGTATATAATATTAGCAAAACAGAATTAAAACATGAAATGCCAAATTACTTCCTCCATGAACAAGCTTTTATATGAAAATTTAACTTCAACTCTAGAATAATTAACATTAAGGAACAATTACATCTTAAATTTTTAATCTTAAATCCCACTCTGATTTAATTAATTTGTGGATGTTTTCTTCCCAGCTTTAATAGGCTGAATCACAGACATTTACTTTCTATGTATTAGATGCCTCAAAAATATTAAAACAAATTTAAAAAAAGTTTATAAGCAGTTTCTAGAAATATGAGCAAAACTATTAGTGATGTAAATAAGTTTTGCTCATAGTAGACAGTAGCAATCTTTAGTACTCATGGCATAGTTAAATATTTTAGAAAACATAAAAAATAAAAATAATAAAAATATGATAATAAATTATAGAACATTTTGAAAATATGTATTCAACTTAAATATTAATATCTACTTAAGTAATCTATAGATTAGTTACAATTTTAATGCCGGCTAAAGTGTTTACAGGCTAAAGTTAAAATAAACAGTTTTAGTCAGGAAAATAAGTCAGTAACACAATACTAAAGTTACATACATTTAAATCTAAAAATTAAAACTTAAAATCCATAATTTATACAAGTGCAAATCAAATCCAATAGTAACATTAATAGAATGTATGTTTAGAATTAGCAAGTTATATTATGTATCTTGGTGTGGTATGATTTATTTTGGTATCATTTAATTTTTTTTTTAAATAAAAAATTGCTAATCTTTTTTAATTGGAGTCGTTTTATTTAACTTGTTATGTCTTTATGTAATATAATATTTTATAATACATAAAAATAAGTTAAACAAAAAGCTTTTAATTAAAAAAGATTACCAATATTTTATTAAAAATATTAAATTATACTACAATAAATCATACCATGCTCAAATTAATGACCTTAGAAAACATACAATTTATTTATGATTAATAGACAATGATAAAAATACTTTAAGTACTATGGAGCAATTTGAATATCTTTATGTAGCATTTTTAAATCATTTATGGATCAATTATTTTGCAATTTTAATAAAACTGCTTAAAAATATAGATTTTATAGCTTTATAAAAAAGAATAAATTAAATTTAGAAAACGTAATAAAACATTATTTTTTAACTTACTAGACCACCTGTTCCACAACCACTCACTACCAGCGGTTGGTGTTCCAAAGCTTGGAACAGAATATAATCCCCAATGCATAAATATTCCAATTTTTCCCTCGTCATACCAAGATGGTGCAACATGTTTATCTAAAGATGCCCATGAAGGCTCATAACGTTTTTCACAACTTGTTAAATTTACAAATACAACCAATAATACTAGCATAAAGTTTTGAATGGGCATTTTTTCAAAATGCAATGTTAAGAACGAACACGTTGTTAGAACATAATCTTTGTATGTATGTTATCGAATTAATAATCTCACTAAACTGAAAATAAATAAATAAATAAGTAGCATTAATATTTAATTAAATAAATAGTAGCATTAATATTTAATAAATTTTTATTCCTTGGGGTCACATTAGCGTCACAAAACGCGAAACCATATTGGATGGGGGAAAATATTGAACAAACGTTTCGTTTGGTAGTCAGTAAAATTTTTCGTTTGGTAGTCAGTAAAATGCGAACTGCGAACCGCGAACTACGAACCGGTAAAATGCGAAATTTTTTGCGACCCAAGAAATTATATTTTAATGACCACTACGGTTTTGATATTTAAAAAAACTTTTGCTCGTCAATTTTTTAATTTAAATTAAATATAGTGTAATTTGATATATTTATTTAAATTAGATTGTATTTCTTTTAAATTAAATATAATTTATGTTTCTGTTTGATGTCCATAAAATATATAGTAAAATAAATAATTTAACGGTAAACGGAAAATAAAAAATATTACATCATTAACAAGTATTAGAACTATGGTTCGCAAAAAAGCTCGCATTTTACCGGTTCGCAGTTCGCGGTTTGCAGATCGCATTTTACCGACAACCGTTTTGTTTAGTTAGGTCCATAAAAAACGTATGCCTTTTTTTTGTCCCCCCTCCCCTCTGCATTTTGCCACACGTTTTTTTGAGTACCCTCTGCCTCCTTAAAAGTACATACGCTTTTGATCTATGAAACCAACATTTTATGATATTTTTTTAAATTAAGTCTCTCCATACTTTTATAATTGACCTACTGCACCCCCCCTCATCTTATATACGCCATTTGCAGACCACTTCTTCCTCTCCCAGCGTACGCACTTTATGGACGATCCCTTGGTCGTCTCATAGGGGGAGGGAGGGGATCTTCAAATAGCGTACTAAAGCGTATGAAGAGAGTGGGGGAGGGGGAGGGGAGAGTTTAATATAAAAGTACGCAGGCACTAATTTAGAAAAAGTTTACGCAGGCACTAATTTAGAAAAAGTACTAGTTAAATGTGATAAAGTTAGAAAAACAAACATTACTTCGTAATGTTTGTTTTTCTAACTTATCACATTTAACTAGTACTTGTTAACAACTAAATGTTTTTGAATAAATAAAAACTTTTTTTAAAAAAAAAACCTTATACCAACTCATCATTACCCTTGGATGTCAGGCAAACCCTTTTTTGAGTCCGCAAAAAAAAGGTTTTAGGCTTTATTTTCACTATTACTCATCACGCAAAAAACCTGATTACCAGCTGGCCCCCGGACTGTAAAACTGAGTATTAGAGCTGTACCCTCATTAGCAGATAATAGAACAAGTTGCCTAGTCATAAAAATATAGACACAAGCAAAACCGTTACATTGAGTCAAGAAGATCCAGCATTCAACATCGTATGAAAACTGGAAACAATGTACAATAAATACATTTATGCCAATCGAATAGATGAAGAAGGGGTGCGAAGCTGATTAATAGATAAAATCTGTTTATCTCCTAACAGCATATGCTTACCCCTCAAATAGTCGTGGTGATTAAAAGATGGAAGCTAAACTTACAGAGAAAAATTGTTTAAAGAAAATAAACAAATTTTCAATAATATTGACAATGAAATAGAATCAAATAAGTTTCTTAGCGATTTTGAAAGATTTTTACAAAAATTTTTGGAACCACAAGCAATCTTGAGTGAAACAATTTTTATAAATGCAATAAATGTTATTCATGAAAGGAAAAAAAGAGCAAATACAGAAACTATGACGAAGTATTAAAACATTTGAAAAATGACGAAACTATTCATGCCTTTCTTCAAAAAAATATTTTAATAATACAAATGATGCCAAAAATAAAGATTGTCTTAGTAACGATTTAGTTAAAGTTCGTCATCAGTCTAATATTTCTGAACCAGCTGAACCAACAATTTCTATTTAAAATTACAAGTTTAAAAATATTAAAAACCAACTTTTCTTGGTCAGAATAAAAATGCATTTCAATTTTTTAAATTATAAAAATCTTGCACGAAAACAAGATGCTTGATTCCGCTATTGCAAAATCGAAACAAAAAATAAAAAAGTTCATGAAAAACAAGTAAGCAATGCTGTTAAAGATTATCCTTAAGATAACCAGACTGACGATTATAAATGGCCTCCAGGAACAACCTTGATAAATGGAGACTCTGTCTTAATGGGAATTAACAAAAAAAAAAGTGCATAAGTTAGAAAAAGTTAAAGTTAGAGTCTTCCGTGGTGCTACCACACAAGACATGCATTCTAATCTATTTCCTCTCTTAAAAATAAAACCTGCTGAAATTATCCAGCATATTGGAACAAATAGTTGTATAAACGATTCATCTGAAACTGCCTAGGAAAAATTAAAAGATCCTTTATTTTGAGATCAAACCCAACTTGTTCAATAATCTTATCTGCACCAATTCGTCGATTTGATAATGCAAAAGCTCAACTTACAACGATACGTTTAACCGATATATTAAAACTGAGTAATTATAATATTATTGATAACTCAAATACGCGAGGATCTGGTAGATTAACCGTAAACCTTGTTGCATATCTGAAGTCTATTTGATAAAAATTATCAACTACCTTTATAAATAAAACTGTTGATGTTTTTATCATTGATGAAACTAAACCAATTGACTCATTTCCAACTTATCAGTTCTTATATTAAGGTTAAAAAACCCTCTACTGCCTGGATATTTCTCAATATAGCGGAGGCATTCTAGTGTAAATCAATTATAGTATTCCTTCTAAAAGGTTAACAAAAAAGGATTTTCCTAATGGCATTCAAGTTATCACTTTTGAAATTAAACTAAAAATGCGGAAACAGCGTGTGATTGCTGTTTATAAACCCCCATATCATAATTGTGACCATTTCTTCAATCACCTAAAAGAAGTGCTTGACTTTTATTTACAATCATATACAGATTATATTCTAATTGGTGATTTTAATATGCAACCTTCGGATAAAATGTTGAAGGAATTCCTTTAACTTTATCAATGCATTAATTATTTATATTTATCAATTTAATTAAACAACCAACTCGTTTTAAATCGATTAATAAACCTTCATGTAAAGATGTTATACTCACTAGTAAAAATTTGTACTTTCAACATTCGAATATCTTTTGTACGGGTGTGAGTGATCATCATCAACTAATATACACAATGGTTAGATTTGTGTTTTGTAAGTTACCACCTCAAAAACAAATATAGAGATCGTTTAAAAATTTTTCAAATGAAAAATTTGCAACAACACTTCAAAAAAACTTAAATTCTTGTTATGATATAGATATTCTGATGAAATATTTAGCAAATCTCTAGATTTTTATTCCCCTCCTATGTCTAAAATACTTAGAGGTAGCTATAAACTTTTTATAACTAAAGACTTACGAAAAGCAATTATGCTCCGCTCTACATTTTACAAAAAATTCTTTAATGATAAATCTGATATTTCTGTGCTAATGTACAAAAAACAAAGAAATAGGTTAGTAAAATTAAACTGTAAACTAAAGAAAATTTACTTTGGGCAAATTAACACTTTCGCGATTTCAGATTCATCTCTCTGGAAAGTTAACTAAACCTTTCCTTTTAGATAAATCAGGTAGCTCTAACGAATGAATCACTTTAGTCGTAACAACATCTCTGACAACTCTTTATTGACTAATATTTTTAATAACTATTTCATAAACGTTGCAGTGCCATCTGTTAGTACAGACCTCATATATTCGTCTTTATTTTTTTGCTCTGTAGGCCCAGTTGATGCAGCTATCAAAAAGTATATTGATTATCCCAGTATAATAAATATAAAGATAATAATATCCAATAATAGTACCCATGATCTTAAATTCCCATCATTTCTTAAAAATGGCTGATGTTACACATGTTTCAAGAAGAATGATCCGACTGATAAGTCGAATTACTGTACAATTAGTATTTTACTAGTCTTTTCTAAAGTTTTTGAAAATATTTCATAGAAACAAATCTTGATATATATTGAGCTAGATTCGATAAACTTTTATGTGGTTTCTGAAGAGGTTATACTACTCAGCCCATTAATAAGTGACAATTGTATTAATGATGGAGGTGTTGTTGTATCAATATTAATGCACCTCTCAAAAGCTTACAACTTTATCCCGCATGACTTACTAATTGCTAAATTAAACGCCTATTTTACACTTTGTTTACACCGTAAACAAAGTATAAAAATAGGGTCTTCTGGTGGCATAAATAGTGTTATCATAAGCAAAACTGCAAAGTTCCGTATCTTTAATGAATAAAAATAAATCATTTATAAAGATATTGAAAAAATAGGTCTAAAGATTTACCCTTAAGGCACTCCAGATAATATATCCACCCAATTTAAAGTCTGCACCCTAAAATTGGGTGGATATATAAACAATTTTAAATTTTCATGGCATTTTTTTTTTAATGAAATGATTGTAATTTTTCATGACATTTATATGTGTGTGTACTGTATATAAAGCTAAATGTTTTAATTTAAATTAGTTTTAGTGTTAACTAGTTTTTTTTTATTGAAGATTATATGTTTTATGAAAATAAAAAAGACTGTTTACAAAATAGCAAAAAAAAAAAAAAATGATAAGGTTCACACATAGGTTAATGGCAAAGGGTAAAACTGAGAGAGTCTAAGCCTTTTAAGCATTTTAGGCGTAACGTGTTATTTTTGTAACAAGACGTAACGGTCTTGTTACAGAGAACCACTCTTAATAATCAGAGCACCTTAATAATCTACTTCAATATTTTTCCATATTCCTATTATTCTTCCATACACCTTCGTTGACAATCTTTGTAACCATTAGTAACAGATCTGTTTCTTTTACTCAGCAAAATCCTAAATCCATTGTCCATAGTTTAAGAGATTTATTTCTTAAAACAAGAAACATATTTCTTGTTTTAAGAAATAAATTGTGGGAAATAAATGTGTTTGTTTTTTAAAACAAGAAATATGTTTCTTTTTTGAAGATTCACAGAAAAATTGTAAACTCATTGTCCGT